TGCTGGGGGATTGAACCGCGGTCCCTGTGCTTTGCTAAGCTTGTTGTAAGTAGGTGCTTTAGACCACTGAGCCATCTCACCAGCCCCATACATTTTTTTAAAAAAAGAAAACAGCATGGAAGGTCCTCAAAAAATTAACAATTGAGCTATCATGGTATCTAGCACTGCCACTCCTGGGCATATGCCAAGGGGAAATGGTTCCATTGAGGCAAGCTCTATACACTCTTGTTCACTGTGGTGCTATTCAAATAAACTAGGTATAGAACCAACCTAAGTGTTCGAGATGTTGATGAAAGGATACAAAATTTCAGTTCAACCAAAATTCAGTTCAAGAGATCCCATTTCCGATGTGGTGACTCTAGGTAATACATAATATGTACTGTAGGCCTGAGAACTGCTAAAAGAACAGATGTTGTGTTCTCACCCAAGAAAAAGATGCGTGAGGTAAAACATATGTTAATTGGCTTAATTCAACCATTCCACAGTGTGTAGGTATATGAAAGCATCATACCTATACTTTTTATTTATCAAGTCGAGATTTTTTAGAAAGGGACTAGTACTACCTTATTTTCCAAACAGGAACCTGAGGCTCAGAGATGTCCAAAGAGCTAGCAAGAACAAGCAACAGCCTTCTGTCTTTGTCATTCTTCACGGCTGGCTGTATGACTCTCCTGAAGGGTTCAGGGAGGGCTGTGCCCTCCTCGCCTCACAGAAGCTGGGGTCTCACTACCAAAGCCTGAGGACTGGAAGGATGCCCCTGGTGGCTGCTCCCTCCCTCCTCCAGTCCACCATCTCCACCTGCACATTCTGGCAGAGCCGGGTCATCAGGACAGCATGAAACTATTTGTCAGATGTAATTAACAATTGGAAATGACCTACATATCCAACAGTAGCAGATTGGGTAAATAAATGATGGTATATGCATTTGAAAAGTACTACTTGGCTGCGTAGAATGATGAGGTAAAAGAATATTTAATTTCATGGAAAAATGCTTCTGACATATTGGTAAATGGAAGAGGCTGATTTCTCAAGCAGTAAGTGCAGCATAATCCCATTTCACCCACAATAACACACATATATAATAACAAATTAATAAAAAAGGAACCAACATTTGTATCCTGCTATGGCTTGAATGTTGCCAAATCCATGGTGAAATTTAATCTCTATTAAAATGGTGGAAATTTAGTCAGACTATGGTAATTGGAGGCACAGTCTTTGGGAGGTAATTTAAATTAAAAGAGGATAGAAGGATGGGACCCTAATCCAATGGGGCTGTGGCTTTATAAGAAGTGAAGCAGGGGGCCGGGGAAATGGCTCAGTGGAATAAGTGCTTCCCTGGCAAGCGCAAGGGCCTGAGTTCAATCCCCACTTCCAGAACAAAAAAAAAAAAAAAGATTTCCAGGGTTGCTCTCTCCATGATGGCACATCACTGCAATCCCAGCGCTCAGGGAGGCTGAGAAAGGAGGATTACAAGTCCAAACCCAGCCTGGGCAATTTAGCAAAAGCAAATATCAAAATAAAAAATTAGAAAGGGGGCTAAGGATGTAGCTTAGTATGGTACCCCTGAGTCTAATTCCCAGTATGGAAATATAGATAGAGGGAGAGGGAGAGAGAGATTGAGAACCTAATCTAGGCCATTCTGTGATTTCCTGCGCTACTGTGAGACTCTTGAGCAAATCCTCCCCCTGAGGAGACCCTGTCCCTCCCAGTCTCCACAACCATGAGCCAAATAAACCATTATCCTCTGTAAATGACAGTACCCTGTCTGCTTCTCAGTTGCACCAAAGGAAAACAGACTCAAATTGAACCCATGTTCAGAGCAGCAATACTCCCCAAAAGGTAGAAGGACCCAAGGGTTCCCAGAGAGAAGAACGGATAAGCAAAAGCAGTGGGCAGCAGACTCTCGGTAGCCAGTAGGACTAGCTGCAGACCACCCCCCATACCAAAATCTGAATGCTCAAGGGCCTTATATAAAATGGCATTGTGTTTGCTTATAAAGTACACGTTTAAACCTCTGGTGTGGGTTAAATGATCTCTCGCCTACTTATGATACCTAATACAGTACAGACGCCATTATACTATATTGTTTAGGGAATACTGACAAGAAAAAATTCTTGCATGTTTCATACAGATGCATTCTTTTCCCCAAATGTTTTCAATCCTTCCTTGATTGAACCCACAAATGCAAAATCCATGATCATAGAAGGCTGACTATATATGCACTGGTATATTAGCCCTAAAAAGGAAGGAAATTCTGTCACATGCTATATAACATATAACATGAATCTTGAGGACATTATGCTAAGTAGAATAAGCCAGTCACAAAAAGGACAAATGTTGTGTGATGCTACTTATAGGCCATCCTTAGAGAAGTCCAACTCAAAAACAGAAAGCCAAATGGTGGTTACTAGGTGTTAGTGGAAGGAATGGTAGAGTGATTGTCTTATTAGTACGGAGTTGCAGTTTTTAAAGATGGAAAGGGTGGGGCTGGGGAGATGGCTCAGTGGAATAAGCGCTTGACTGGCAAGCGCAAGGACCTGAGTTCAATCCCCGGTTCCAGCAAAAAAAAAAAAAAAAAAGATGGAAAGGGTTATGGAGAGGGATGGTGGTGAGGGTTGCATGACACAACAAAGACGTCTGATAACACTGAATTATACACAGAAAACAACTAAAGTTTTTTTTTTTTTGGCAGAACCAAGGATTGAACTCAGGCCCTTGCGCTTGCCAGGGAAGCGCTTATTCCACTGAGCCATCTCCCCAACCCCAAAAGTGCTACATTTTATCTTATGTGTATTTTACCATAAATTTGACACATGGAAAGCCAAAATTCACACTCTACAGAAGCTAAATATAATTGATTTACAAAACTTTAAAAAGGAAGTTACATTATCTGCAACACTTGATCCTTAACATATAGGTCCTAAGCCAACATTCAAGGTCAAAATGAATTCTATCTGAGCCTAGAGATCAGTCTCCTTCCCAACCCTCTGTGGAGCATAAAGTCTGAAATTCACGTCTTCCAGAAAAGGAAGCCCAGCACCCCACCCCACCCCAGCCTGGGGTTTAGTGAATCTCTGCTCCTGAAATGCTGTGGACACGCAGAACATTTTAAATACCACGGTCGTCACAATTTTTACTTTCAACTGGGGCCTTTTAACAGGCCTAATTTTCTTTTCTTTTTCCACTGAAAAAGTGAAAGGGGGAGCAGAGGGTGAATAAATTGTCCAAGGGAGGGAAATGGCAGCCCATTGTAATGCAGGAAGGAAAATTTCCCCCATTGCAGACTAAACAAGGAAGAATAGATCTGAAATTTTGCTCCAGCCTGTCTCAGGGGACCCTGGATTTCTTTTTCTAAAAATCCTTCAGACAAGGAGAAAGATTTATTTATTCAGTATGACTTAGGGCAATGTGTTTCCAACTGAGGGACCTAGGAGCCATTGCAATCCTGTCCAGTGGCAGCTGGCTTCGGGGGGTTTATAGTACCCCTGAAATAAGAGAGGTGCTACACACAAAGAATGCACACTAAATGACGAAGACTTGGTGCATCAAAATGAATGTTACCCATCTCATTCATGATTTTTAAAATGGTGATCGAAATAATATTTTGGACATATCAGGTTAAATAGAATATGTGATTATATATTTTAATCATTAAAAAATGTTTTAGGGGGGCCAGGGAGACAGCTCACTAGAATAAGCACTTGCCTGGAAAGTGCAAGGACCTGAGTTCAATCCCCAGTTCTGCAAAAAAAAAAAAAAGTTTTAGGGGCTGGGGATTTGGCTCAGCGGTAGAACACTTGCCTAGCAAGCTGGAAGCCCTGGGTTCAGTCCTCAGCACCAAAAACAAAAAATAAACCTCACCTGAAAAATACCTTAAAAGTTAAAGACGCAACCTAGCCTGTGCAAATTGACAACTTAGCGAGACTCTGTCTCAAAAACATAGGCTAGGGGGTGTAGCTCCACGCTGTGGCTCTGCTTGCAATGCCCTGCATCATAAACAACTATGAAGGACTGGCCAGACAGCTCAGCGGACTAAAGGGCCTGCTTAGGCAGGTCTGGTTCCTTCCCAAGCGTGCTGTGCCTGCCACGCCCCTGGGGTGCACTGAGACAGCAATTTGACTGAGTGTGGTGGCATGCGTGTGATCCCAGCTCTTGGGAGGCTGAATATAGGAGGATCACTGTGAGTCCAATCTACATAGTGAGACACTGTACCAAAAAAAAAAAAAAAAAGAATAACTTAGTACTCAAAAACTCCAAAGTCTCAGTGACTTGACAGATCCACATTAACCTTCCTTTAAACTCTCACCAACAGAGCCCAGCCAGATCTGCAGGAGGCTCATCAGCGTCACACAGGGACTCTGGTTGATGGAGCAGATGTCATCTCCTCCACTATCAGGCATCTGGCTACTGGAAAAGTCACAGCTCTGGAGAATATGCACTGCTATTAGGTGCTCTGGCTAGAAGTGAGGCCTGGCATTTCTGCTCACAGTTCATTGGCCAGAGCTAGTCACATGGTTGTTCTACTCGCCTACAACGGAGCTGGAGAAATGCAGGGCAAATGACTAGCCAGGCTTAGATTTTCTTATTTCTTTTTTAAAAATTATTTGTGTGTGTGTGTGTGTGTGTGTGTGTGTGTGTGTGTGTGTCCAGCTCAGCCCACCAGGGGGTTGGGATGGCTGGCATGTGGTGCTGGGGGATTTGAACCGCGGTCCATGTGCTTTGCTAAGCTTGTTCTAAGTAGGTGCTTTAGACCACTGAGCCATCTCACCAGCACAGATTTTCTTATTTCTTATTCTTTCTTTTTTATTTATTTATTTATTTTTTGCGGAACCAGGGATTGAACTCAGAACCTTGCACTTGCTAGGGAAGCACTTACTCCACTGAGCCATCTCCCTGGCCCCTCTTTCTTTCTTTTTTAAAAGTTTTATTCAGCATTTCATTCAGGTTATATCTCTAGGAATGAGGAGTCCTTGTTAGAGGGCACAACAGTTCAAAAACCCTCAGATCTCATAGTGAACCACCGGCTGAGGTTCTTTGCTGGGATCACCACCTCATTCCAGGTACAGATTATTACGAGGATACTGCTTTGGCCCCACAGGCTGGTAGCTGGGGTACATCTCCCCTACCCAGAACATAAAAAGCATGAATGCCACAAAGCCGAAGAGATGGTTACACATGATATGCCAAGAAACAGGTGTGGGAGATGTGTCCACACAGTTCTGGATATACATGTCTAGATGCCAGTGAATCGGTTCACCTCAGTTCAACCTCAGGTCTGGGCGGTCCCATTCATACCGTGGATCCCTCTCATGCTGTGAGCAGTCAGGCAGCTTTGGGAAGTCTCCATACCCCATGCCTTCATCTGGGTAAGGCTCATAGTCTTCCACACGCATATTATTATCTTTTTTCTTTTTTCCTTTTTCTTTTTTTTTTTTTTTGGCTGAACTGGGGATTGAACTCAGGTCCTTACGCTTGTCAGGGAAGTGCTTATTCCACTGAGCCATCTCCCCGGCCCTACATGCATATTATACTTCTTGGTGGTGGCTGCCCATTCCTCTGGGGTCAGGGGATAGGAGCCTGGCAGCATGTCCTTGGTAATATGGGAGGCTATCCATGCCCCCAAAGGCACTGCCTGCCAAGCTGTGCTTTGCAGCCACTGGAAACCCAGAGCCAGAGCCTTCTTTCCAGGTCACTCTCTGCTTTTTTATTTCTTTTATTACTATTATTACTGCTGTTGTTATTTATTTATTTATTTTGCAGAACCAGGGATTGAACTCAGGCCCTTGTGCTTGCCAGGGAAGCGCTTATTCCACTGAGCCATCTCCCTGGCTCCTGTTATTTATTTTTAGTGTGTATGTGGTGATGGTGGGGATTGAACTCATGGCTTTGTATATACTAGACATACTCAACCACTGAGTATATCCTCAGTCCCAGCTTTTGTATTTCTTGAAAATGCATACAAGCTGGGGCTGGGAAGATGGCTCAGTAGAATAAGCGCTTGCCTGGCAAGTGCAGGGTCCTGAGTTCAATCCCCAGTACTGAAAAAAAAAAAAAAAAGAAAAGAAAAGAAAAGAAAAAAGAAAATGCACATAAGCTGGGCATGGTGGGGCAAGCCTTGTAATCCCAGCACCTTACTCCTCCTCAGGGGGCTGAGGCAGGAGGATTTCAATTCCTGCACGTTCATGGCACCCTGGGCTGCATAGCAGGATCGTGTCTCAAAAAACAAACAAACAAACCAACACCCTTTTCCAATATAATAACAGAAAAAGAATGAAATAAAATAAGAAATATGGTATATCTTACATTATTTAAAATTTTAAGGGGGCCTGGC